TTCCAATGTGGGAAAGCAACAGTCGTAGGATCAACGTCTACCGTTCAACAACGTCCAAGAGCTGCGCCACTGTATCCGCCCACCGCATAAATGAAACCGTCAAGCGTGGCCACACCATGTCCGAACCGGGCATGGGACATGGGAGCTACGTCACTCGACCATGCTTCAGTAGCGGGATCGAATCTAAAGCATTCCAATAAATCAAACATCCAAGGTTCACTGTGTGTCCATGTTAATGTTAATAATCAGCAAATCAGACTTTTTCTTGGTTATCTTCATTTGCAATATTGCACGTCATACCTCTCACTGCTTTTCAAATACGTATGCTTCCATCGTGGCCACCAACAGCGTAGAGAAAGTTGTCGAAGACAGCTACACCAACTCCGTCCCTAAAGAAAATGTTATGTGCATCAGAGTAGCCTTAAAATGTGATGACCTTGCCTTTTCGTACTCATGGGAGCAACGCTCTGCCAAGCAGGATTCGATTCTCCTGAGTCGAAGCGTTCCACGGAATTCATTTCCGCATAATCACCCCCCACTAAAGCTGTATAAGTTGAAAATGGTAAAACCAGACTTGTCTTCCAGTAGCCTTCGGGAATCCTTAGCCTGGCTACGCGTGTACCTTCGTTGTGATATTTTCCGCTTACGAGATCAACATCAAATTTCAAGTGTGGAGTCGGGGTAAACTCTAAGATAAGCGAAGAGATGTGGCTGCTCTTCCAGCGCATGCGTTGGCCTTGAAAGAGCTTATTTACCACGAGAACACGCAGGAAACGGAAACGTGTATTCAAGCAAACAAAGGGGCTTTCGTCAAAAAGGGCAAATTTTCAATCTGAAAAAAAATATGGAAGTTGCTGGACGGGTACTTCCCAAAAAGTGCTGATTTGTTTACAAGTTCTGCGAAAGTCCATGTTCGGTGATAAACGAGGGAAATCGCTCGATTCGCAATTTCTAACGTCGGCCTAAGCCTATACAATTCCTACCCTGTGTGGCGGCGCGCACGCAAGAAAAACCCTGTCGTCTGGTAGGTAGTAATGTGGTAAACCAACTCGAAGAAGAAAGTGGACCATCAGTGAAGAAAAAAGAAGAAATATAGACACAGAAAGTGCAAACCTTTTTGTTTCACGCTGCGGTGAACTCATAGAGGGAAGCAGCGAATGTAAAAAATGGTGTGAGTCGTGGAGAGGGAAAGAGCTTTTAGAGAGCACCGCTGATCACCCGATCCGACACGGAACATATCGAACGGTGGGACGGGGACGGTTCGACCAGGTGTCGGTGGATCGAAATCGTAGGCGCCTAGCGTCCTAGTAAGGCGGTTCGAGATGCTAAGTTGTCGCAAGTTCTATGGTTGCGCACCTAACAGCTCCACCTGCGGGAGCGACCTCATCAGTGAGGCTGAGCCCGACCTTTGCCCTTCGTGTTCACTTATTTTTCTCGTTTCGAGTGGGGTTGCTTACGGTCCGGGCAAGAAAGTAAGCCAAAATTGAGTACAGCAGCACTTTGACTTACCAGCGTACAATATTTCACCACTAAATACTTTTCGTGACGGAGTTCGCGGTCCTCGCATGTTGGGGTGTTCGTGAGTAGAAAGTTGTAGAATGTGGTAGTCCTGAAAAAGTCAGCAGTGAAATCATGAGAAACAGTACACCACTCTGCAGCTCAGCATCAACTACTAACCTTCGCTTTGTCGACAAGATTCCGGCAGACATCATTGAATTCACTAAAGGGTCTTTACTGACAGTATTGACCAGAAATTTAGGGTCACAAAGCTGAAGCCGCACATGCTCGAGCAACTGCAAAGTAGAGTGTAATAGGACGCCGGACAACGACAAGGAATACAGTCATCACCTGTGGCAACAATTGCTGCCGAGCCGCTAATCGAACCTGACCCAGTCAACAACTGCCTCAAAAACCTGAAAGGACTTGATTATAGATGAGTATGCAAAGAAAAGAGCCCCAGCAGGGATGGGAGCAGGAGCCTGTACAAATATTCAGCAAATACCTGTTCTTGTGAC